CTTATTTGAAGCGTCTTGAATCGGATAAGTTTGACACTAAATCCCGATAAATACATATTTGTGGGATATTCAAAGCAGATATTTGAATATCAATTCTATTATCCAATTGTGAAGAAAGTTTTCGTCTCATAACATATCTTCTTCTTACAGAAAATGTTTACTCTAGAAGAGGACTGTGGGAGCAAAATAAAACTTGAAAGAGTTCTAGAGTCTACAAATATAGTTGACCAAGTAGATGAGTCCAAGTTTGATCCAACGATCATTCGACCTTTAAGAAAGTGTAAATCCACGATTACTAATCAAGTATTATTAATCAAGGATGATAAATCTACTAATTACAGAGAAGCAAAGTCAAGTTTTGATTCAGATGGATAGCATGAGCCCATGGAATTCGAATTGAACACGATGTATGAAAATAAGGTTTGGACCTTGTTCAACCCTCATGATGGATAAAACTCATATGTTGTAAATGGTTTGCAAGAAAAGGGTCGACATGGATGGGAATATCCGTACATACAAAGCAAGGCTAGTAGTAAAAGGTTAAGTGTTGACCTTGACAAAATATTTCACCTATAGCCATGCTGAAGTTCATTCGGATTTTGGTTGCAATAGTTGCATACCTTAAATATGGGTTAAAGCAAGTCTCTTGGAGCTGAATTATTCAATTTGATAAACAATCAAAATGTTTAATTTTATAAAAAATGGAGACGAACTGTGTATTTACAAGAAGATAGTGGGAACATTGTCGTATTTCTAATATTATATGTATAAGACATATTATTAATAGGAAACGATATCCCTACATTTCAATCATTGAAATTGTGGTTGTTAAATGATTGTTCCGTAAAAGATATGGGAGAGGCAACTTAATCTATAGAGATAGATTTAGAAGATTGCTCAACTCATCCCAATCTTCATAGATAAAATCTTGAAAAGATTTTATATGGAGAAATTAGTTTACTCCTAAACAATGTGTTGGAAGGGTTCCAAACGTGAAACAATCGTTGATTCAATAGTAAAAACCTAATATCATTACTTCAAAAGTAGCAAAGAGTTGCAATGTAGATCAAGATGTTCACTAATGAACATGGAGTAGGTCCTAACATTGTCGATCACATGCAATTGCATTGTGATAACAATAAACTCATTGCACAAATAAAGGAAATAAGGTCTCATCAATGACCCAAATATGTATTAAGCCAGTATCATCTCATCATAGATATAATACAAAGAAATGACGTAAAGAAAGAAACGAATTCCCACAATTGTCAATATTGCAGATCCACTGACAAAGAGTTGTCGCAGCATAAACATGATCGTCATGTAGACTCTTATGATATTCGATACATAAGTGATTGGATCTAGTGCAAGTGGAAGTTTGTAAGTGTTATGCCCTAGGTCCAATTAACCTTGGACATAAATACTTTTAATAAATAATTGATGCAATTTTATGGCAGATTTATTATTTAATTAATATTCAATTAAATTAAATAATAGAGTTCGTAGATTCAAATATTGATAATTTGTTAATCACAAGGAGTTGTGATTGTGTGATACAAATTACATATGATTAAATCTTAAATCGTCCATGGTCGTAAGTAATAACAAGATACGGATATCGTTATTATGGATAGACCATCACGTGTAGCGTTTCTTACTAATGAAGTATGTAGTTGATCTCACAAGATAAAGTGTGATGACATTTAAATGAACACGTGGATGTTTTGCTGTAGAACAAAATATTGGAGACCCGCTGAGAGATTCTACATGGACGGCTATCTGAGTGTCAGTGGTTAATTTCTAACGTTCGGTAGTGGAATTGGTCTTTTGACTTGAGGACATCATGGTGCCTTATGTAGAATCCCGAATTTTTAACTTAAATTCGCATATATTTTCATTTGCCATTTAATAGGAATGCAATGTTTGGTTAAGTTCTTATGCAAGTTAATTGATTATCTCTATAGTTATCTTATTAGTTGAGGGACCAAATTGAAAAAAAATAAAAAATATCAAATTATTTTATACTTTATTAAATGGACCAAATAGTTAACTATTGAAGGAGTTAGAATTACTCTACCAATATTGGGTTCATTTTGAAGCTCATAATAAATGGCGAATTATGGACTCAAGAAAAATTTAATTTGGTCAAGTTAAACCCGAGTTTTAGCCGTCTAAAGGATATTATGGTTATAAGAGTTTTAAAGGATTAGATTTTTCGCCAGTTGACTGCTACCACTAGTTTAGCTAAATAAATTAGAATTTTAAGTTTTGGTTAAACAAAGTCTTTATGTTAAGTATTAATAATTACACATTTTTAATTAAGAGGTAATCAATTAAAACGTAATTCCTGCTTACAAATTTAGTTAAATGCAAATCAAAGGAATTTGAATTATTTGATGTTAGACTTTAGTACATGAGTAACCCATGCATTTCATTACGACTTTCACGTGTCCATATAATTAGTAATCATTGTGTCCCCTAATTGGAACAAATTTTGGGAAGATTGGACTGAAATTCTAATTTAATTAATAAGCATACATTTTATAATTTTCGGCCATTAGGAGATTGACAATTTAAGATGTTTGTATTAGAGTAAATTATGCAAATAGGAGGCAGATTTGTTTTCCCCGTCCACGTGTAAAAGTCATGCAGTGTAATGCCTATCATTTCCTTGTTGTAATTGTAATTGATATAGAAATTGGCAGAAAACCAATAATTAATCTCCAGTCATACTATATCAATCGGGAATTATGAATCAATTTCTCAGAAGATTGCATGAAATACGAATTTAAATATGGCTGAAATTCCACTTCCCCCACGTGATTACCCGACTTCAACAGTATAAATAGAGCACTAAAACCACATTCTACTACACGTCCATTACCTCTCCCTCTTTAAAATATTCCTCTATATTATTTAGATTTTTAAGGCTTTGGAATTGCAATCACATTTCTGCAATTTTATTCTCCACTTTCATCTTCAAAAGGTGAGATACTTAGAGATATTAGTGATTTTTTCACATCTTTTCAAATACGTTATTATGAATTTAATTACTTCAATTCAGGCTCCTTCAGGAGAAATCATGATACATTTTAAGGCACAATTTAGCCTTCACGTTATTTTCAAGGCACAATTTAGCCTTCACGTTATTTTGCAGCGCTTGCTAGAATTATCATTTGTCATGGTGTGATAATTCTCATGTTATGTTGGTAAGATAATTTATTTATAATTTCATGTTTGACTTGAATGTGGAGTAGCAAG